GGCGGCAGCTACAGAATGGCTAATGGGCCAGGCCATGGCAGGTGAGCTGCATACACAGGGACGCTCCTGGCTTGTGGGGAGCTTCTCCAGGAAGTCATGACCGCCGCGGGTGTCAGGCGGGTGTCAGGATCACACTGGTCCATGCATGCACCAAAGTCGGCTGTGTTTGGGACAGAAGGTTGGCTACGTGAGAGGATTTTCCCAGGTAGAAGATGTAAAAACAAACAAAGCTGCGAGTCTCATCAATAAGCAAGGAAGCAAGTCTGTCTGTCTTCCATGGCCAGTCAAGCCTTTGCCTCTCCATGTCACATCCTGACACAGCACCTCCATTTCTCTGCCAGCAACAAGGTGCCCAGAGGCAGCTCCGCCCCATACATACCTTCCCCCAGAGAAGGGCACTGACTTGGGGGGAGGAGGGAGCACCCAGCCTGGGAGATTTAGGATGGAAGAAGGGTCTTAGGTTGGTTTCCAGATCTTTGCTATTATAAACATTGAGGGCCAGCTGTGCTCACAATGGCCAGCTGTCTGTTGACAAATCAACAGGGTGAGAGCACTTGGGAAGCTCAGAGGAGAGGGCCCCAAGTCCACGTGCTCCTTCAGAAGGATAGTAATTTTGCTCTTTTTCCTTTCACTTCAAAATGATTTCTGATCAGATCCTCTGGGTTGGCCAAAAGGATTCAAAGACAGACAGGGGGCCTTTAAGAAGTTTGTGGCATTAAAAGATCATTGAGATTTTTCCCTATGAATTTTCTGAAGCCTCCTTGTGATAAGAAATATGCAATGAGACCCTGAAAACATAAAGCACGTGCTGTAGCCCATGGCCCTGGAGAGCAGCGAGTGGATTTCTTAGCTGGGCTACCAAGACTCCTGTGCTTCGTGGTCACTGTCGGCGAGTTCTGCGATAATAAGCGACACCGTCCACGTGGCCTGCCTCCAGACAGACCTAGAATCAGAGTTGGGTGCTTGCTCCATCATTTGGACCATGTGGAACATGTGTGCGAATGGGGTGAGCAGTAGGCTAAGCAGGAGATAAGCTTTAGAGCATGAGGTTAGATTCCAGGTGATCATTTAAATCAATGTCCCCATCCAAGGGACTCTGCCGCAGTGTGTCTTGGGTCAAAGACAAGGCAGGTGCTGTTTTGGGAGATTCCATGTGTTCAGCCAACATAGTTGAGGAGGCTACACAGCACCCACAGGCAGCCACTCAGAGCCTGGAAGGTCATGGGGATTGTTGTGGCCCTACTCAAATAAAGTGATAACACAGTGGGTTAAGTGTTGTGTATGGGGAATCTGGCCCAATGGAACCTGTATCCTCGAAGGTTTCTCTAGTCCCGCTGGGATGTGACTTTGGAAATGGTGCTGGTTGCTGTGGGAACCTTTGCCAGGGCCTGCTTCTTAAACACATGCCACCTGCTCTCGAGGACTATACTCGTCATTAGAGGTATCTGGGACTTGTCATGGAGATCAAAATCAGTTGGGAGTTCAGGTCTCCTCTCTGTCGCTGTTGATTGGCACAACCTTGTGTAAGTCCCCAGTCTCTCTAGGCGGCATGTCCTCATCTGGCTCTAAGGTCCTCTCCAACTCGGAACTGCCTTGAGAGAAGCAAGGCAGGAGGAGCCTCGCCCTGTAGGAGATTTCGCTTGTGAACCCTCAGATTGTTTAGACTCACAATTCTTTCTTGGGGATTTATGGGAAAGGTTGGCTTCAGCATCTGCTAGGCCTTGGGGACAGAGCCCTGCTTGCACAGTGGGCTGTGTTTGGCTGCTGAGAGGTGATCCAGCCTCCAGCTGTCCCCCGTGAGAAAGATGAGGGAGTCTGCTTTTATAAATATGGAGAGCTTCGGGAACCTTAGGGACTTTCTCTTACAGTAGTGGTTCTCAACCTGTGGGTCATGACCCCTTTGGGGGTCGAATGACCCTTTCACAGGCAGGGGTCGCCTGATTCATAACATTAGCAAAATGATAGTGATGAAGTAGCAACGAAAATAATTTTATGGTTGGGGGCTCACCACAACATGAAGAACTGTACGAAAGGGTCGCGGCATTAGGAAGGTTGAGAACCACTGTCTTGTAGGGTCACGAGGAGTCAGAATTGACTTGGCAAAGAATGAGACCCATAGGATGATGAGTGGCTGTATGAAGGTGCTCTTTGACCTTTGATCCTAGGTCAGTGGGGTGGGCACATCCGAGGGCCAAGTGGGTGCTGCATGAGACTCTGAGTCTGATTTCACTGTGTCTCTGGTTTTCTCTTTCCCCAGACAAATAAGATGCTGGATGTGAGGGAGCATCATGACTGGTGAGTTTTCCTGGCTAAATGGTGGAGGGGCCATCAGGGCTTGTGGGAAATCTTTCTTCTCCTCAAGTGGTCCAGTGGCCAGTGTCCCATTGGCTAAGTCCCAACTCTCTCCTCCCCAGCTCTTGTGCACCTACCCAGGACAATAGCAGAGACACCGTGACACGGCAAGCCACGATCACAAACGGAGGCTGGTTGCAATGACAGTGAGGAAATTCACCTCTAGGTAAATAAAGGAGTCAATGTCGCCTCTTCTTTCGTCCTCCAAGCTTCAGCTCAGGTTCATGGCATGCTCCTCCCATCCACCCCAGAAGCCACACTGTCATAGGAATTCTCCCTTTGGGTTAATTAGAGATAACCACCACCCACTGGTCGTTTTGCAGGAGGACTCTGTGCCCAGCTGACAAGGGCTTCATGTCCACTCAGCCCCCTAATCGGTCCTAGCCAGATTGACACCTCCCTGTCTTAGCAAAGCTATTGACGTCAGGACATTCAATGGCACAGGTGGTCATTTGGGTGGAGGGAGGCCAGCCTGGTGGAGTCTTATGACTCGAGCTGGACTTGCCCACCAGTATTCACCTTCAAGGAGGAAACATTCTCCAGGATAAGGGCTCTGCTTATCTTTCCTCGAGTGAGTGCAGAGGCCACCAGACACTTACTCATCCATGACTTCAGTGGTCAAAATGCTGGCCAGCATCTCTCACCAGCATGTGTTTCCTGCTCAGTTGGTTCTCAATGACCTGTTTCACTACCCAGAGGCCCTGGCCCTTGTCAAGGAGTGAGGTCAGGCACTCCGTTGAAAGGTTGGGCATTCCGGTCTACTCTGAGGCCCTGTGAAAGAGAAGAGAGGTGAGCAGTCGCAAGCCTCAAGCTGCTCCATGAGAGAAAGTTGAGGGTGTCTTGGAAGAAAAGTGTGGCAATCGCCTTCCCACAGGCCAGAGCTTTGAATACTCGATGGAGTCGTTCTACTCTGACACACATAGAGTCACCATGAGCCTGAGTTCACTGGATTGGATGTCAAGAAAGTCATCCCTGCCCATGTGTGGGGCACTTTGAAACCTGGCATTTGCCCACAACCGTTGGCCTCATACAGTGGTGTCCTTAGGGGGTGATACCAGATGGCACTGTCAGATGGGTGACACCAAAAATCACAGTCATTTCCACTTTTTTTCAGTTTCATTGAAATGTATTTTTTTATGAAAAAAAAAAAGAATTTATCACCTATAAGGATAAGTTATGACGACAAAAACATTTAGATCTATCAATATACCTCAAAAAACAAACTCACTGCCCCTGAGTTAATTCCAACTCACCAAGGCTCTATCTATAGTACAGAGTAGAACAGCCTCAGTGGGCTTCCAAGCCTGGAACACTTTATGGGAACAGACACCCTCGCCTTCCTCCACTGGTGCAGCCAGATGTGAACAGCACAACGTACCGTATATACTCGTGTATAAGCCGAGTTTTCCCAGCATATTTTTCTGCAGTTTTTGTGGTAATATTAGTTGCCTCGGCTGATATTCGGATCAGCTTATACTCAAGTATATACGGTATAACCCAAAAGGTAACCAGGCTAGCTCTATGCTTATTGACTCTTTGAATCTTCTAATGCTCTCCTGTCAGAGATGTCATAATTGCCTACTTACTCCAATGCTTTGAATCACTTGGTTAATCTCTATGAATTACAAACCCACGAATGCTTTTGTTTTCCTTGTTGCTGGTGTTTTTATAAGACTGATTTTCTCAAATTGTCTGGTGGTTTCGCTTCAATACTGTGGTCAATAGTTTTTGTGAAGCTATCTCAATTACAATTTTGAGAATGTAGTAGTACTTAAAGCACAAGAAAGAGAAACGTATAAAAAGGCATATCCCCAGTTACTAATAAAGCTATAATTCAGTCTTAAAAGATTTTATAAATAAAATGTGTTGTTTGTATTCATATAACCGACAGAATAATACATTGAAGTATTTTACTCTATCACATACAATGGAGAATCACGAGGAACTGGTAGAAAATATAGGTGCCTTTAAGAAACAAAAATTAGCCAACTGTGAAGCTATTGCTTCCTGGCATATCTGTATTATCTTAATTATGGTTCTCTATTTTACCTCTCTGGTTTTGACTATCCACTGCAATGGCTACACAAAACTTGCAGACAACATTCAAGATGAAAGGATTTACAAGGAAGTTAGTCATAATGTCAGTGAGAAATACTCTGGGTATTTGCTTACCAGGACATGTTACAAAGTTCTTTCAGGTATACTAATAAATACCCAAAGGGGCATACCACTCCGTTGAAGCCTTAAACTTCTTGGGTCAGCAAGCCCAATTCCTTCATTAAGTGCCCAGAGACACAAAACCACTCATCTTTACTTGTTCCATGGGTTGGGACATCCATGTTCTGGCTCCTGTGTCTGCTGCTGCTCCTCTGATGGTCTAGCGGCCATAAGGATCCAGGAGTTCACTGTGCAGGAATCTTGGGTCCACAGGACGCACACCACCCCTGACTCTTGCTGGTCCCGAGATTCCTCCCGCTGCTCCTCAGAGGGCTCTTCATTACTGGGGGCTCGCACAACTCTTATCACAATCCATACATCCATCCATTGTGCCAAGCACATTTGTTGCCGTCATCATTCTCAAAACATTTGCTTTCTGCTTGAGCCCTGAGTATCAGCTTCTCATTTCCCCCCTCCCTCCCTGTATTAGTCTAGGTACTTTAGAGAAACAAATCCACAGCAACTCATGTATAAGAGAGTTTTATGTAAAGAAAGTGTGCATCACAAAAACATCCCAACCCAATGCTGCCCAAGCCCACAAGTCCATTAACCCATTAACCCAACATCAGTCCACAAAGTCCTCCACATCACAAAACAGAGGCAATGATGCCGACTGCAGGAGGAAAGCTGAGTCAGTGAATGAATAAGCATCTCAGCACTAGCAGGGGTCTCCACATGGCTGCTCCAGCACCCAGGGCTGCATCGGGAGAGGTCCATGGGGCTTCTCCTTGTGGATGTCTTGGACTTCCAGCAAGAGGAAGTCAATCTTGCAAGCTGAAGCAGGGAACTGCTAAGGCAGCTGCACCCTGGTGCGACCATCACAAAGCAAGAGACCCGAGAACTAGAAAGGCAAGGCTTGCCACCCATTTATCCCTCCGCCTTTCAATTAGCCTCACATGTGTTTATTGGCCAGGTTGGCACAATTAACTAACTCACTCCCCCACCCTCCCTCCCTCATGAACCCTTGATAATTTATAAATTATTATTATTTTGTCATGTCTTGCACTGACTGTTGTCTCCCTTCACCCACTTTTCTGTTGTCCATCCCCCTGGGAGAGGGTTATAGGTAGATCACTGTGATCAGTTCTTCCTTTCTCCCCCCACCTTCCCCTTACCCTCCTGGTATGGCTCTTCTCAATATTGGTCCTGAGAGGTTCATCTGTCCTGGATTCCCTGTGTTTCCAGCTCTTATCTGTACCCGTGTACATGCTCTGGTCTAGCCAGATTTGTAAGGTAGAATTGGGGTCATGATAGTGGGGTGGGGGGTGGGGGCGGGGAGGAAACATTAAAGAACCAGAGGAAACCTGTATGTTTCTTTGGTGCTACACTGCACCCTGACTGGCTCGTCTCCTCCCCGCAACCCTTCTGTAAGGGGATGTCCAATTGCCTGCAGATGGGCTTTGGGTCTCCACTTCACACTCTCCCAGCAGCATGACACCTGTTTGTAACCCTGTTTAGAATTACTCACAGGTGAACGCTATGAGTATCTTCCCCCACCTTCTTCTCAGCCCCATGCCGGGAAAGGAGGTTTGGTGGGAGACTTTGGCTAGAGGAACCACCTTCAAGCTGCCCTGCAACATCCTTCATCTGGGCTTATACCTTCATAAGGGTTTTTCTCTCACGAACGCAGTATTACATTTTCTTAAAACTACTTCCCAATAAGCTCCTGTGATCGTTCTGGGTTCTTTGAGAAAAACAATTCATATTACTCCTTTGCCATCTCAACAAACCATCCCCATATTGTTCTGCCTTGAATTTAACTGGCCCCGAAACTCCCTTTGAAAGCCATTGTTTCCCTTGCATCTCTTTGTTAAAGGCACCCTAATGAGACTCAGACAAGCATACGAATATTACTGAAAGAACTCGACTGTAACCATCACTGATCTAAGATACATTTACATGGATTTTTAAAAATAAACCCTTGTAGCAATAGTAGCAATCCTTTTTTCACTTGGTAGGTGACTTCAAGTGAGTTCCAATGCACAGGCTCCTGTGTACAACAGAAGGCAACACTTAGACTCACCATCTGAAGGTTAGAGCTCCTTGTTGCAGCCACTGGGTCAATCCGTCTTGTGAAAGGTCCTCCTGTCATTCACTGCTCCTCTACTTTACCAACCACGATGCCCTTCTCTGGGGACTGGCCTCTCCAGCTAACCTGTCCTAAGTACATGAAATGAAGTCCTCTGTAAAATGTTGAAGAGCCAGGATGCTAGTCTGAGGACTAAGGTGCTCCTGACCCAAGCCACTAACCTTGCTTGCAAGGAGCATTCTGGCTGTACTTCTTCCAAGACAAAGTGGTTTCTCCTTTTGGCAGACCGTGGCTCTTTCAATGTGCATCACTTCTTCTTTGTCTACATTATTCAATGTCCAACTTTTACGTACATATGAGGAAATTAAAAATACCGTGGCTTGGGTCAGAAGCACCTTAATCCGCAAAGTAGCACCCTCACTCTGCAATCCTCTAAAGATGTCTTGTGCAGCAGATGTACTAAATGCAATGCTTCTTTTGACCTCTGGGCTGCTGCTTCTATGAGCATTGACTGTGCATCCAAGCCAGACAAAATCCTTGACTTCAATCTTTCCCCATTTATCATGATGGTATCTATTGGTCCAGTTGTGAGGATTTTTGTACACTTTATATTGAGTTGTAATCCACATTGAAGGCTGAAATCCTTGGTCTTCATCAGCTAGCGCTTCAAGTCTTCCTCATTTTCAGCCAGCAAGGTTGTGTCATCTGCATATCACCAGTTGTTTATAAACCTTTCTCCAATCCTGATGTCATGTTCTTCATATAGACCAACTTCTCTCATTGTTTGCTCAGCATACAGATTAAAGAACTATAGTTAGAAGACACAACTCTGATGTACACCTTTATTGATTTTCAAGTATGTAGGATTCCCCTGTTGTGTTCACACAACTGCCTCTTGATCCCTGTGAACAGGTTCTGCATGAGCACCATGAAGTGTTCTTAAATTCCTGTTCTTCTCAAGCTCCTTGGGTAAGCAAAGCCAGGTCCCTGGATAAAGTGCCCACAGGGTGCCTCACTCCAGCAGGCCTCAACCTGAATGCTCTCAGCTATACTTCCATGGGTCAGTAAGTCCAAGTTCCCCAACTAAGTACCCCAAGGCACCCCACCTGCTCCACAAGCCAGCCTCCTGCACAAAAGCACTCAGCTTTACTTGGAGCCATGGCTTGGGAAGTCACCACTCTCATTCATGCTCTGGCTCCTGGTTCTGCTCCTGCTCCTCTGATGTTACAGCAGTTTTCTGGATCCATGAGGTTCACTGTGCAGGGATCTTGGATCCAGAAGATGTAGAGGACATAGCTTGTTATGGTGCACACAGTGGAAAACCTTTGTGTAGTCAAGAACACAACCAACAAACATTTTTCTGGCATTCTCTGCTTTCAGCCAAGATCCATCTGGAATCAACAATGATGTCCTCATCCCACATACTCCTCTGGATCCAACGTGGTTTTCGAGCAGTTTTCTGTTCACGTACTGCTGCAACTATTTTGTAATTATCAGTAGCAAAATGTTCCACGCATGTGATATTATTGAAATTGTTCAAATAATTTCTATATTACCTTGGTCATCTTTCTTTGGAGTGGGCACAAATATGGCTCTCTCGCAGTTAATTGGCCAGCTAACTGTCTTCCCAATGTCTTAGCGTAGACAAGTGAGTGATTCCAATGCTTCATCAGTTTGTTGAGATATTTCACGTGGTATTCCATCAATTCTTGTAGTCTTCTTTATCATGAATGCTTTTATTGCAACTTGAAATTCTTCCTTTAGTACCATTGATTCTTAATCTTAACCCCTTGAAGTGGTTGAATATTGATCAATTCTTTTTGGTACAATGACTGTGTATTTTTTCACAATCTTCCTTTGGTGATTCCTGAACAATTCAGTAATTTTCTCCTGGAATACTTCGATATTACACCTGGAAGCTTGAATTTTTTCTTCAATTTTTTCAGCCTGAGATATCCTCAGTTTTGTAACTCCAGGTCTCTGCATGATTCATTGTAATATTTTACTCTATCTTCTTAAGTTTCCCTTTGAAATTGTCTGTTCAGTTCTTTTATTTCATCATTATTAGCTTCTCTACATTCAAGAGCAAGTTTCAGAATTTCTCCTGATATGCACTTTGGTATTTTCTTTCTTTCCTATATTTTTAATCATCTTTTTCTCCCCCTTCACCTATGATGTTCATGATGTCATCCCGCATGTTTGGTCATTAGTGTTCAAAATATCAAATTTGTTCTTGAGATGGTGTCTAAAGGCAAGTGGGATAGACTCAATGCCACAATTTGGCTCTTGTGAATAGTTATACTTTTCTTCAGCTCTGAGCTGAAATTTACATGATGGCAGTGAGGTGAGTTGTTGTTCAACCTGAACTTACCTATGAGCAATTGATGGTCTGTTCAACAGTCATTCCCTAGCCTTGTTTTGCCTGATGATATTGACCTTCTTTATTGCCTCTTCCCACAGATGTGTTCGGTGTGATGTCTGTGTATTCCATCTGTGGGGGAAAGACAAGGCTTTCTGCTCCCATCAAGAACTGCAGTCCCAGAAACCACGGGGACGCCTTAACCCTGTCCTATAGGTTCTCCATGAGTTGGAATCAATTCGATTGCAGTGAAGGAATTTTATTCCAGCTGTCAAAGTCAACATGTATAGTCAACTTTGATATTTTAGGGAAAAATGCATTTGCAATCAATCGATCATTATTCTCGCAAAATTCTATCATGCAACAGCCATCTTCGTTTCTATCACAACAATTCTCTTTTCCAACTGCTGACTCTTCCTCTTTGTTTTGAGTACACGTTCGATCAATTTCTCCCTGAAGAACTTGGTAGAAATCTTCAGGTTCTTCAACATTGTTTTTAATGGCTGGTGTGTACCTCTGAATAACAGTTGTATGCACTAGTCCTGTTTGTGTGCATATACCTAACCCAACGCACTGTCATCAAATTGATTTTGACCAATACCCAAGCCACTGCCTTGGAGTTGATTCCAACTCATAGCAACCCTACAGAAGATTTGTGAGGCTTTCATCTTGATGGGAGCAGATAGCTTCAACTTTGTCTCGCAGACTGGCTCATGGATTTGAACTTTTGGCCTTGTGGTTAACAGTCCAAGACAGTCCAGCAGTGCCATCATGGTGGTTTCTGAGGCAAAAATTCTTTACAGGAACAGCTAGCCTCATCTTTTGCCCTGCGAGTGTTTGGTGGGTGGGCTTGAGCTGCTAAGTCTACCTTTAGCATTCCAGTTTACCCCCACAGTACCACAGGACTCCTTTGCATGCAAGTAGGTATTATCCTATCCCGGACAGCATCGTACATCAAGATGAATCTTGAAATGTTCTTTTTGACGATGAATGTGACATCTTTTTTATTTTAATTGGTCATTCCTGCCAGAGTGACCCACATAATGGTCTGACTCAAAATGGCCAGTACCAGTCCACTTCAGTTCACTCACGCCTACGATCTCGATCGTTGTGAAGCAATCCCATTTCATTGTCGACAATTTGCAACTCTCTTAGCCTTAGACTTTGTACATTCCAGGTTCTGATTATCAGTGGCTGAGTGCTGCTGGCATTTCTTCTCCATCAGCAAACCAAGGTTCCGAAAGCTTTCCTCTGTCTACTTGGAGGAAGTCACCCCCATCCAATTGTGGGTGCCTTCCCACCCGAGGGGCTCATCTTCTGGCACTCTATCTGCTAATGCTTTGCTGTGACACATGACATTTGAGAGGTATTCCCTCAGAATCGCTGGAAAAACATATCAAGGATAAGGATAGCTAAAAAGAGGAAGACCCTTAGGAGATGGATCGACACAGTGGCTACAACAATGGGTTAAACTTAACAACCATTGTGAGCAGGTGATACATAGGGTCGCTATGAGTTGGAAACAACTTGATGGCACTGAATAACAATCCCTCAGAAGGGATGCCTTCTCTCCAGTCTGTCTTATTCTGGAAGTTCAACTGAAACCTGTCCACCATGGGTAACCCTGCTAGTGTTTGAAATTCACGTGCCACTGCTTCCACCATCATAGAAACATGACAGGAACCACAATAAGGCAAACTGGTAGTAGATGAATGGTGGACTTTGGGATTTATCATTGTATTTTCCTGTGATTCAAATGGATTGTACATTTTACTAAGGATTCTGTATGGTCCGGTATGGGAGGAGGCCTATGGGGGGAGGGGTGATTCCATGAATCTCTGCACTGGGTGACACTAATACCCCTGATGTCAATGACCTCATGCCCTCTGTAATCCTTCATTCGGTCTCAGGGGTGAGTCTGGTTCAAGGGAGACCAGGCCATCTTTGTCCCGCACCTCAGTGCACTCTCCGGTGTTTCTGGAGGCCAAGGATGCCTCCTTTGTCTGAAAGCAACTTTTCCCCTCTGCTAGCGAAGACGTCCTGGAGTAGGAGTGCCTGCAAGAGATCTGTAGTTCTGAGGACTTTGGGGAGCCATTTGACAAAAGAGCGGCTGGCATCTATCAACCTGGGGATGGGTGCTAGGAGTTCTCCCGAGGAGGAGTTCTGGACTCTCTGCTGAATGGGAAGCAGAGAAATGCCCTTACCTTCTCATTCACCACACTCCAGGGGTTCTCCTCATTCGAAAGCATTGTTCTTTGCCCTATGGGGGTCTCCCTGAGGACAGCCAGCTGTGGAAGGGTGGGCAGCAGCCCCTGGTCCTGCAGAACCTCAGACAGGCCTTGCTGAGGGCCTCTGAAATCTGCCTCAGGCATGAGGGCAGGAAGAGCCTCCTTCTATGTCCACCTGCTCCTGGTGCCTCTGACGCTTGCTCTTCTTTTCCAGATGGATTTCTGGAAGGGGTACCCAAACGCAGTCTACCCGGTGCGGGACCCTCGGTAGCGCTCAAGCATCATGTATGTGATGGTGCCCCTTCTGGGGGTGGCGCTGCTGATCGTCATCGCCTTATTCATCATCTGGAGGTGCCAACTGCAGAAGGCCACCCGCCATCACCCCTCCTACTCCCAGAACCGGTACCTTGCCAGTCGCACGGGGCACAGTCTCCCCTGGGTCATGGTGTACCGCGGCACTGTGCATGGCCCGACTGAGTCCTCCGGGCACCGGGGGGCAGGGAGCCACCCACAGGTGGTGCTGGGGCCCAATCGTGGGGCCAGGGCCACAGTTCGGCTTGAGAGCACCCTCTACCTTCCCGAGATCTCTCTTTCCAGACTGGCCAGCGCCACGCCACCCCCGTCCTATGAGGAGGTGATGGCTCCCCAGGAGAACAGCGGTGAGGAGGCCGGTGTCTCTTACAATGACCCGCCCCCTAAATACGAGGAGATTGTGGGCGCCCACCCGAGATCACACACATAGTGGCATGGGGCCTCCTTCATGTGTCCCCATTTTCTTTTCCCATTTTTTTTAAGATGGTGCCACCACTAAACAGCCTTAGCCTCCTTGCCCCTGCCAGGGGCTGACTTCTCTTACACCAAAGGAATCATCCCTAGATTGTGGCCCACATGTCCCAGTGGCAGGGGCCCAGGAGAGAGGCGAACCCTTCAGTGCCCCTGATCCCCCATAGTCCTGCGCTTTCTGTCCTGGCAGGCTTTTTGAGGACAAGCACATGGATTGGGCAAAAACAAAACAAACCCCCCCAAAATTAAAGAACACAACAAAATCTGGGCCATTCAAAGACTCCCACCCAACACCCACCTCCCTGCTGCGACCAGGGCCTTGGGGGAACAGGGGAACACCTAGAGTCACCTGGCAGCAGGAGTGGGAAGGAGGAGGACCGGGGGTTGGCTGGCTGAACCCTGTCTTCCCCAGTGACTGGGAGTTTTGCCCTGGCGAAAACCCCTGTGCTGGTCTGCAGTCATTTGGCCTAATCGTTCCCCATGCTCCCAACGGACACAATTTGTCCGAGAGCTGGGTCCGAAGTGTTCCACTTGGCAGCCTCATTGGCTTGGAAGATCTCTCAGGCCAGGAACTCGGCCTCCTCAGCCCTGTGCTATCTGTGAACTTGGGGAATACTTCCCTTCCATATATCTGTCCATTGAGCTTGAACTTCAGATCCATGATTTCCCCTTGATTGTGCCCAGCCAGGGAGGAGACCATAAAATGTCCCCCTTTTTTGTTTTTCTTTTTTCCTTGTGGAGAGGTCGGGGGAGCCCATGATCTGGGGCTGGTCTGTTTTGAGTACCTGGGAGAGAAGAGGCATAAGACTCTGTCAACGTCGCCCCCATCTTCCTGGTGCTTTAAAGAAATGTAGCACATTTTGGTGGGGCCTCAAGTGTGCTTAGCCTGGAGCACAGCAGTTTAGAGAACGTAGACTCCATGAACCGTTCCCTTTTGAATGTAAGCTCTGCCTTTAAGGCCCCAGCTGATTTGTGAAGATCCTGGGGGCTCTTCCATGAGACAAGTTCAAAGTTAGGGGCTTGGCTTACTATCCCAGGGAGGCCATCGGACCTGTGGCTACAGATCTCCTTCTCCCCACTTCAGAGGCCCGTCAGAAGAGTTTTCTAGAAATGTGTACGTTCTAACTGAGGCACCCCCATAGGCCTTGAAGGAAGTTAGGGGGTCCTAAGCTCATACTGGCAGAACCACGGAAGCCTGCTTGTGACCTGGGATTGTTAAGTTCAAGGTGCCTCTTCTCAGTTGGTAGAGAGCTAGGCCTAGGCCCCACTGACCACAGCCAATAGGAAGATGCCAAGCAAAGCCTACCGCCTTGGGCTTTCTGTGGTGCTCTTTCCCGTTGAGTGCCTGGCTAGCTGGGGACTGGGTGGAAATGGAGGAGAGCAGACCTTTGTCCTTCCTGGGAGCCCTGAGTCAGTGCCTTCAGGCCCAGGCCCGGGGCACCCGGGTCTCTTACTCTTCAAGATGGATTGAGGCGTCGGTCTGTGGGATGTTGAGCTGCATGCTGTAGAAACAAGGCTGTGCAGGCAGGACACTATGGCATGCAGTCCCTGTCCCCCCCCCCACCCCGTGGTGTGATTTGGCTGGAGAGACTCCTCACACTATCACTTGTTTAAAACCAAAACCTTCTGAAGACTTCCTCAAAGCAAGAACCTCCCCCAAGTCCCTGCCCTGGGCCTCTCACCTTGGGAATCCCACAGCAAAGCACCAGAGAAGGAGGCGTGGGCCCCGGGCCGGCACTGGCTGAGGTCTGGCTGGGGTGTACCCTCTCGCTCACAGCTGAGGAGCCAAGCTTGGATCTCAGCCTGACAAGCCACGAGCGTCCGTTTCAGGAAACAAACACACCCTCCCCACTGCATGCTACTAATACTAATCAGTGTAATTAGCTCATTTCAAAGTACTGTAATCAGACTGCCTGGGATGCCAGGCAAACCCCATGCACTTGAAACCCACTAATTCAGAACTTCCAGCATATTGCTATGTGAGAGAATCCACAGTTTTCTGTGAGTCTGGCTGAGTGGAAATATTTTCAGTGTAGTCCAATGTCAGACCCTTTGGTGTAAGAGGAATCCAGTTTTTCCATGAGTCCCTTTTGTACCCTGTGGGACTGGCCGCTCCCATCATTCGCCCCCAACAGCCCAGCCTTCAGGGGGTTCCCCTTCCTTGTGCAGGCGCAGGCGGTGGGCAGTGATCAGTGCCTTTCCTTCTCCCTCCCTCTGGGGCCGAGCGTGAGCTCAGGCATCCAGGACTGAGACAAACCTTCCAACTGCATGCCCTCCAGTCCATTGTCCCAGGCCTGTATCCCCCTGCCCCGCAGCTTTCCCCCTGCTCTTGTGACTTTGTGACAGTGGAAACCCTGGCGTGTGTAAGTGAACCTGTAAGAATGTTGACTGTGCAATGGATTTGTTTTTGTGCCACTTTCAACTGTGTCCTTGTCCCTGTGGTGACCCAGCTGGGTCATCTGCAAACTCAACCATCTGGCAGCATCTCCCAGCGGGTGACGCGAAGGGCTGCTTCCCGGGAAGTTGGTGGATTGTACCCCACTACTGCTGTGAGGGGGAAAGCTGAGGCTGAGCCTCTGTTAGAATGTACAGCCTGGCAGCCTCTCGGGAGCAGCTCTGCTCTGTCCTGTCTGTCGTTGTAAGTTGAGATCAACTCGAATGCAGTAGGTTTACTTTCTTTCAATTTAGGGGCCTACAAACCAACTTGCATTCGAGTTCTCGTTCTTCTGAAGACTGTTGAGTTTTGCTGTTGAATTTTTGTCTCTTTTTGTCCAAGAAAATGACTAACACTAATAAAGACCAATGACATTCATCTGTGTCCTGACTGCATCCATCTAGGCTCAGGGTTCATGCCCACTCATGGCTTCCAGGAGGCCTGGAGGCTTGGCAGGGCCTACTCTGTTGTAAAAGTCAAACTTCGGCTGTGGAATCAGCCCAAACCAGTTGAGGAGCAGGAAACAGAGATGTCCTAGGTCCTGTAGTTGTCCCCGAAGTATAAGATGATCTCTGGACCCATCCCCCTGGGATGATGTAAGATCTGTCACCGTCATGTGACCAACGTCGTCGTCACTGGCTCCCTGGTGGCTAACAAAGCCTCTTCAGTAGGAGGCCGGCCTGCTGGGCTTCAGGGCTGAGAGTAAGGGGAGACTTGTCTTGGGTCCCATAGAGGTTGTTCCCTGGTTCTGCTTTCTGAATTCATTGGGCCATGCTGTGCCAGCATGAAGGAAGTGGGTCCTGATCCCCAAAGGATTCCCAGATGTTGGCCTGGAGCCACAGGACAGGCTGGCCCAGCCGCCAGCAGTGAACGTGATCTGCCTTGGAAGTGGCAAAGCCCCAGCAATGAGGAGGCCTTGGTGACTCAAACATGTGGGGCCTCCTTTGGGGAGTCAGTGTGGAGACAGGATGGCACAGACAGTAGCCACAACCTTGGCACCAGTCTGGGACATCGACTGCATGTCATCCAAGTGGAACCCCCAGCGCACAGGCTTAGTTCTGTTCAGAAATTCTAGGCAATGACTCAGGGCACCTGACCAGCCCATACTAAGATTCTAATGCATGGTGGCTGCTCCCTTGAGCCTCCCTTTCTTAATCCCAGTGGCTGCACCATAAATCCAAGGCAAGGGAGTTTGGGGAAGGAGGTGGGAAAGTCCAGGTCAAGGACTTGAGTGGGTAATGGTGCGGGTGGGGGATCCTACGCTCAGACTCTTCCAGCCCCACCAGGACAGAAGGAATCAAGGGTGGGGCTTTGGTAGGTGAGACCTCTCTTTTCACGTTTCCCTGACTGGCCCCCTCCCCCTCACGTCTTGCACCAATGCCACCCTTTAAAGGAGCTGCCATGGCGAGTTCATGGGAGGGTGGTGGGTAAGATCCATGGGTTGTATTTATAGATCATCATAACCAGCACTTGTTGAGCAAGTATTCTATGGCAGGCCCTGGGCCTGCACAGCAGGGGACGTCTTTGTCAGCCAGCTCTCCAGCCTAAGTAGCTGAAGCACATGGTCTGGAAGAGCTTGCGAGGGGATGGGCCTCGTGGCTTCTCTGAGGGGCCTGGTGGCCCTATCAACACAGTCTGAGTCAGTCTCTTCCCTGCCAACAGCTACACCTGGCCCCACGGCACCAGGAGACAACACACGTCTTCTGGTTTAATCCCCCCAGTGCATGGCCGCCCCAGGAAACTCACACAAAATTGAAAGAGGTTCACAGGCTTGACCAATCAGAAGGACATTGTTGACGTGGGCAAGTGCTGCTTTGTTTCTGTTGAGCAGCGGAGGGTGGGAGCTGAGAAAATGAAGACGGGGGAGGGGCGGGGCGGGGGCAGAAGCAGCTGAGGTCTTTGCAGCGTGGAACACCCCGTGCTGGCCACGAGGTGAAGATGCTGAGCTGCCAAAGAGAAACACCCAGGCACGGGGGAGCAGGGCTGAGGGCCTGGGCCTCCACAGAAATTGCTGATAGCGTTGGCAATGCATCCTGGCCCCAGGGGAGGGACTGGCCTGGCCCAGGTTCTGGATACTTCATCCTTTGTATCCACTCGGGAAGGCCTTGGGGAGCGTGTGAAAGTCCTACTGGCCCTGTGCGCTGCCAACTCTGCACCAGAAACGAACCAAAATGCTTTCCATGCCGTGGTCCTTTAGCCCCCTTTTCCATGTAGAATCGTTGAGGTGCAAAGAGACAAAGTCAACTGCTACAAATCGGGAAGCCAGGACCTGAACCCTGATAGGGGTGGGGGCAGTTGGGGTGGGAGTCTGGGCTCTCAGCAGCGCTCCCTTCTGAGTGCTTCCTACTCGATGGGGTAACTCTTCTATGCTCCTTCAGGAAGTGGAGAAAAGGGATTTCAGATGTTTTCCAGAACTCTGGAGCCAGGTCCCCTCTCCACCCTCCTCTTGGTCAAGCAAGGTCCTGGGCTACCACTCACAATGTCTTGAGTCTAACTGCCGCTGAGCTGCTCGGTGACCTGGTCTGCCCCAGCCCTTTCTGAGGCCCTCTTGTTCTATCTGCACACTGGTGTCTTGGCCTCATGACCCCTGCCATTGCTTCTTGTCTGAAAACCACACTGCTTCGGAGGGCGGCCTGTCTCACCTAAGCCTTCTGCTCCCTCCTCCCCATCTCCCTGCCCTTTGATGCCTGTCTCTTGACTTTGACCCAGGCATGGGGACCCCTTGAGAGTAGATATATTCCCACCGGAGGAGTCACTTTGCCCAACTGCCTCCCTGATGGCCAGGAAGTAGACCCTTGCCCGCCTAAGCCTGGACACAGGGATGAAGTGCAGCAGCTGCACCTAGACTCCTTGGGGTGCCTGGTCTGCTGCCTAAGGTAACCAGCAGTCTTTGCAGCTCGTCTGCCCCCCAGGTGTTCAGGCAACCTCCTCCTGAGAGAGGTGACTTCAGGTGCTGCCAGAAAGTGTCCTGGAGTCACCAGTGACCAGGCCTCGCCAATCAGATCCCTTCAAGAGTGACAGAGGCCAGCGAATATGGTGGGGTTAAGGGCATGGCCCCTTTAAAGACCAGCCCATGGACTTCCCTCTCCTCCATTATTTCATTTGTGTCCACTAGAAGGGGAGTTGATTTCAGACAGGACCCTCCTGGTTTCTACTCCCAGTAAGTCAATGCAAGACAAGATACTGTGGCCTCCTGCTGGCAGCCCTGTCCCCAGGAGGCAGGCCCTGATTGCCCTCAGCATCTAGCTGTCTGTCCATCTGCCTCTTTAAGGATTGTCCCCAACCCCTTCCCTCTGCACAGGTGTCCTCAGTACCAGCTGCTTCCAGGAGGAGGAAGGAGGAAGTCCTCAGGGGCGCAGAAGATCTGAGTTTGCTGTCAAAGGCTGACTTGTAGCTTGGGTTCAGGGCTCCCAGTGGTTCTGTACCTTCTTTCAGGATTTTCGGTTTGAATGCCATCTGACATGGGATCCTAGTGATCAAGACAGGCTTCGACCGTAAAGTGGGGCTGGGGGTTTCCTAGAAGCTCAGACAACCCCCAACGCACCTTCCTGGAGCCATGAAACACGACGGACCTGAGATGTCCCCACCACTCCATGTGAAATGGGACAGCTGAGGTTCAGAAGTAGGCAGCGCCTTGCCCCTGGACCGCCTGTCACCTTCCGGTGTTGCCAGGTAATCTGAGCAGAGACGGGTGGTTTCATAGGCTCGGGGGAGGCAGACAGGAAGGTGGCCCAGCAGAGAGGAAAGGACTCAAGAGCTGCGGGCAACCAGACAGACAGACAGGCAGGCAGGCAGGCAGGCAGAGTTGGACACCTGCTCGGTGGACTCTCAGCAGCCTCTACATTTTAGCAAAAGCGTGGGTGCAATTAACTGGGTTTGTTTGGTCCCCAGCAGAGGCTGTGAGCTCCCTGCCCGTTTAGGGGGAAAGATGATATGTTTTCTTTGGAGACGCTGAGCTTCAGGGGAGGGAGTGCTTTTGCCTCGATCTCTTTCTTTTAATAAAACAGCTCTTATTGAAATAAAGATCCAAGCCCTCCAGCAGACAGTTCACAGGAAAGAAATGCAGAAGGTTGATAAACATATGAAAATGGCTCCGGTTTATGCATAATTAAAGCTGTATAAATTAGAGCAACAATCCGATAGGTATTGGCTTTCCCCCATCTTAATGATGCCTCTGAGAAAGTTTCAGAACGTCTCCTGCTGATGAGTCTAGGAGCTGATGCCAGGGCCTTAGGTGGAGAGCAAATGTTTTGAGAATGACGAGGGCAATGAATGTACAAATGTGCTTGACACAATTGATGCATGTATGGATTGTGATAAGAGTTGTATGAGCCCCTTATAAAATGATAAAAAAAAAGAAGCTAGCGCTTAAAAAAGAAGAAGAAGAAGAAGAAGAAGAAGAAGAAGAAGAAGAAGAAGAAGAAGAAGAAGCCAGCACTTGGCTTCCCCATGCCCGGGGGGCAGCCTCTTTGGCTGGGACACATGGTGACCTGGTGCCCAGCGGGGTGTCTGGCGGGCTTGCTGAAGATTGCCCAGTCTTTCTCCCACACAGACACTGTTGTTGTCGGGGGCTCTCCAGTACATTCCAATCCCTAACAAACAACTCTATAGACAGAGTCGGACTGATCCACAGGGTTTCTTAGGTGGAAATCCTTGTGAGAGCAATTGCCAGGTCTTTCTTCCATGGAACTGCAGACTACATACTTTGAATCCATATCATGTATATCCTAAAACCAAACGAATGCCTGCGGCTCTTGCATCCTTCCCTCTCAGTTGCCCCTCAAAGCAAACCCACTGCCATTGAGTAAATTCCAACTCCTAGCAAGTCGATAGGGTTTCTGAGATTCTACAACTTTATGGAAGCAGACAACCTCATTTTTCTCATGTCAAGAGGCTGGTGGATTTGAACCCATCACCTTGAGCTTAGGAATCTAGCCCTTAGCCCACAGAGCCACCCAGGCTCCTTTACGGGGACCCTAGAGCTGCTGGGGGATCTTAGGCATATTGCTTGTGTCTTCAGAACCGGAGCTCGGAAAGGAATTGCAGAGGTGAAGCTGGCAGGTCTCAAAGAACTAAGAGAGGTCTGCTCTGACATTGGTTGATGTCCAAGACTAAGTGTTTGCTCAGAAAGAAAGTGCCAGAAGAGTTCGGACCATATGATCTCATTCCTAAAAATAACACACATATACGGAGACCAGTCTTGCACTGGGGTCTTTGGGGCTCTGGGCCCCCTGTGGCACCTTCAGGAAGGCAGATCACACTGTCCCCTTGTATACCCCCATCCCTCTGGGCCTTGGGTAAAGGCTTCCTCAAGCTGCCAGGTGTTTCACTCTTGGCTTTCTTTGGGGCCCAATACAAGATCCCAAGGAGAGATCAGGAGTTTTCTGCCTCGATTGTGGATGGGCGCTTCCAAACCACTCCAGATACAGGCACAAGGATAAAGTAGTCAGATGTGAGTCATGGGCTCAGAGACTGAAGTCCCCAATAAAATGTTGCAAAAGTATCAAACCTTCAATCCTTCCCAGAAGCACAACAAAGGCATTCAACCTGCTCAAGGCTGCTCAGCTGGTGATGGGGGAGAGCAGCTGCCACACTGTTGAGCCTGGCCCTGTGACCACTGCTCCCACGCCCTGCCTTGACCTGGAACCCAGCCTGTGAGCTCAGAAGGATCCCGCTGGACACCTGGGGGCCAAGATGATAGCAGACAAAATAGGTGGGCTGGACCATGGGCAAGTGGAACCAGGTTCTGTTGGGAGAGTGACCTTGGTCAGCACACAGGTCACCCCAGCACCGGCACTGGCAGCTCTCAGCCCAGCCAGAGGGCCCCAGGGAGCCCTAGCTGCGCAAGGCCAGTTGGCAGCCCGAGAAGAATCTGATCGGGGGCTCAACAGTGCCAGGCCTTCCTTGTGGGCTGCCCCAGACTCTGCCAGCCTCCCTGAGTCAGTCTTGGTCACTGAGTGTTAGGGATTGTTACCACCAGAGACACTGAGTTCAGTGACATGAACTTGGGGAAGCTGAGCAGGGGCTAGCATTGCCAGATCAAGCTACTTACATGTGAATTTCAGAAACAAACAAACAAACAAAAATGAATACAAGGAAGGTGCTCTTAGTGTCACCCACAGCCTATCAGGGGTCCCCGTGGCTCCTCCCCTGCCCTTCCCGCCCCTTCCTTGTTCTCGTGGTTCTTGCCTCCTTGCCTGAGTGTCTGGGGGCCGAAGCAGGGTGTCCCTGTCAAGGGTCCCTTCTTGAGGAGGTGGGCACACGAAGCCCCTATGGGCCTGGGGGCTAACCCTGCTGTGGCTGCTGATCGTGGGGTCTGCCTGGCACTCATCGTTGCCTCTCCCTAAACAGGGTGCGGGGTGGACCCACCTACTCTGATGAGCCAAGTTCGGAGGCCCAGGAGCCGGAGCAGGGTTCCCACAGTCTGAGAAGCATTATCCCTTGTCCTGAATTGCTTACAAAGTAGCAGACTACAGGCTTCCAACCCAGCCCGTGAGATACCACAGGAACACACTGGGCTGGACCCAAGGCCACCCGGAAAAGGGAGTCTGGCACCACCCTCAAGCCTGGGTATATCTTCCTGGGGCTCCAACTCCTCTAACAACTGCTTCTCTGAGCTGTGAGCCTCGTGCGCTCTTGGTCAGAGTTGAGCGGGATGTCTGGGGGACCCTACACCTCCAAGGAGGAGTTGAATATCTCCCTGATGGACAATCTGCACTTGGGAGGTGAGGATCAAGTCCAGGAATCCCCGATGGTGTCAGGTGAGGCTCCCCTGAAACACCTCTTCCCTGAGATGGCTCCCACTTGGGGCACACTCGTGTGTCTGTCTATATGTGCTTGGTTGCGTGTGATGAAGCGTGCAGGTTCCTGTGCCTTGCTGTGCATGTATTTGTATGCTGGGGAACTGGCATGGAGACCGCGACCCTTTTGCGGCTCACACTTGATGTCGCTGAACCCCAAAAAGCCCTTCAGGGATGCGGGTGGGGAGAGCATGCGTGAGGCCACCACTGTGCCTATTGCAAACGGTTCAGGGGGCTCGAGTCACAAGACCACGCAGACCCAGTTCTCTCTCCCCGTCGCCCAGTGCCTTGCCAGACCTCCCCAGGGTCCCTTCTCACACAGCAGTGACCTGTACACCTCTCTCACAGCCCTGTACCAGCACCAAGTATTCGAGATCCCTAGTTTCTGTTTCCTGTCTCGGAAATATGCCCCTTGCCTAGCTGTCCCAGAGCTGGGTTTGTCTGCTCTTCTCTGGCCTTTGTCTCAGGGTTGCTTCCAAAGGTGCTCGAAGGAGCCTTTTTCTTCTCTCACACTGCCCTGTTTTTAACGTTTGGGGAGCATTCATCTCTTCATTGGAATTTCCCATGATTGGCTTCTGCTTTGCACCCCAACTTGCCTTTCAGCACCCACAGACAATCAGTCCCTTGATTGCTAAAATGTGAGCTTGGAGTCCCTGCTTCTCTCCAGTCCTGGGCCTTCGGTAATGACTCATGGAGCTTTTGCACCAGGGCCTGGGGTCGTCTGGTGGACAGGGGTGGATGGGTGCAGTGTGACCCTTCAGGAGGCTGGGGACCGTGTTCTCTTTAGGATTTGTCTTGTGCCTGGACAACCTTAATCCATGCTCTGTGGTTTTTCTATGGTCTCCGCTCTTCCTAGACCTGCTGGATCGTGGATCCCGGAACCATGGTAGTCTCTCCCAGCGGCGACAGGATTTAGAAGCAAGGCCTATGAGCCAGGCTACCAGCCTACCACCTTCGAATCCGACTACTTCCAGGCCCAAGAAAATGGTACTGTATGGGGCATGGGCCACTGGGCAGCTGAGCAGGAGTTGGGCCTGCTAGCTGGTGGGGGCGGGGCGGGGGCCGGGGCGGAGCTCCAGTCTGCCATGGGCCAGATGTCCAGTGAGGGGCAGGAGGAAACTCCTGTGTGGCAGGCAGGATGGGAGGGCAAGGACTACAGTTCCACCCCAATAGGTACTTGAGGAGGACAGTGAACATTTTGTGTAATTCTAGTGTGTGTGAATTGGCGCTCCTTTTCTTATAAAAGGGTAGAAGTCACAACCAAATCCAAAACAAAACAAAAACAAGCTGAATGAGCTCTCTCTCTCAAGGCTAGGACATGGGTGAGGCAAGTGCCATTCCTATGCTTCCTCTCTGTTAAGAAATCCAGTCACACGAATCTCATCATTCTGTAGCCAACCTTGCAGGCGATATTTATTGTGGGAGAAACAAATTTCTAGGGGGGGAAATGGCTGTTGACCTGTTGCAAAGGATGCTGGGGAAAAGCCACCATTTTGGAGACCAAATTTTTCTTGGAATGAGTCACAAGCAAGGTCCTGGGCTAGCACTCATAATGTCTTGAGTCTAGCTGCCGCTCAGCTGCTCAGGGACCGGGTCTGCCCCAGCCCTTCCTGAATGAAAATAAGCCAGAAAGATTGACTTGGCTTCCTATCCAAGGTTCTAGCATGCCTCCCATGTCCCTGAAACGGAGAGAAATGCAGTCAGTGGGTGAAGAAAATGGAACTGTTAGGATTCAAGGAATACAGTTTTCCAAATTGTAGATATGCTAGCTTTTGATACTGAGTCTTCTGTGCAATTTACTAATTAGGTAGTGGCCTGCTGACCCAAGATCATGAGCCACTCTGCAGGGGTACAGATGCACACGTAGAATCAATTCCACGCTTTACATTGTTCTCTATTGTCTATCTATCTATCTGGAGTCCTGGTGACATAGTAGTTATGCTCTGGGCTGCGTCAGTAGTTCAAAACCACCAGCTGCTCTGATGGAGAAACATGAGTCTTTCTACTCCTGTAAAGAGGTACAGCCTAGGAACCCCACCAGGGTAGTTCTGCCCTGTCGTATTGAGTCGTTATGAGTCAGAATGGACTCGATGGCTGTGCGTTTGAGTGCTTTTTTGAGTTCTATCCATTGCCTTTGTGACGCTTGGGTTAGACAGTGGGCTGCTATACCCTAGGGAAGTGAGTCAAACCCATCATGCACACCTTGGGGTGGAGATGCCACTGTTTGCGGTTGTAAAGATTTGTAGTGTCAAAAACTCTATTGTCGCTACGATTTAGAATTAATTCAATGGTAGTGAGTTATAGATCTAGCTACCATCTATCTCTCCATCTAAAAAGAGAAGAATTTATGGATCTGGTTGTGCCTCTGGGGGCAGGGGGAACACAGCAGTGAAGACCCCCCCCCCCAAAAAGGTTAATATTACCCTGTGTGTTTTAAACAAATGCAATGTACCTTCAAAGGTCCAGGAAGATGAAAATAGCCTTTCTGGGAACAAGGAAGAGGGATGTGAGGATTTACTACAGTACTGTCGATCCCATTCATATCAAAGTTGTGTGTTTTACAATGTACACAATTCCAACGAGCGAGTGTGGGAAATTAAAAAGAGGAAAAGCAATAACTGTTCAAGAGCAGTTAGACCTTTCTTATCACGGGTGATCAGAATGAAAAGTATCATCTCTCCAGAGATCTTGCTGATAAATGCATTTCCTTGATCTTGGTAGGGTGGTCACAAACCAGGCTCTCTCAAACAGAAAGAACAACAACAAACAGCCAGTAGCCACTGATCTTTATTTTGCCTTCAAATCTCTCAAAAAAATTTTTGTTTTGCCTTTCTGATCCTTGAAAATCCAGGGTTGGTCTGGAGCTGGTTGTCTGACAGCCTGTTGTTTAAGATTCCCCTGAGAGTGCCCTTTCACAGCTATTTTTGAACTCTCTTAAGAAGAACTGGAAAATAACCAAGTATGACTATCAACTGCTATTCACACAAAAAGTCTTTCTGCTGTCTTTGTGCTCCTATGACAACAAGCACGCTCTGCATTGCTGCGACAAATGGAGGGCTGGGCCATAGACCCTTCGAAAACTTTGCAGACCCCCCTGAAGTTGAATACTATCACTTAAGAACACATCAGATGAGAAGTGAACCTGGGTTGTCTCTTCTTTTTAACATGTAATCGTGGTAAAATACATATAAGCCAATAGTGACCACTGTGATCACTTTGAAGTGGGTCATTTCATGACATTCACTAGCTTCACCTTGTGGCGCCACCAGTGCCACCATCTGTTGCCAGAGGTTTGGCCCTTGTTTCGGATTCAGGCAAGGCTTTGCATGTCAGTTGGCACTCATTGAATTCCACTAAATAAACAAACAGATAAATCCCCAGACTCTACTGCCATCCGGCTGATTCCAACTCCTAGCAATAGAGTGTTCGTCAGGTTGTAAATCTTGATGGGAACAGACAGCTTCAAGACTTTCTCCGGCAGAGTGACTTCATGTCCCTGGCGGGCGGTAAGGTGTGGTCAACTGGAAGCTGGAGGGGAGTCCATCTGGGCCTGGATTTGGAGGTGGGATTTGAATGTGGGTCAGGGGTGGCAGGGCATGGCCTCCAACTGCGTTTTCATAGGCACGATCGAGCCGTGGTCCGCACTCGAGCAGGAGACTTAGACACAGGGAATCAACAGCAGATGGGCCCAAAACGAACAACTGGGCTGACCCCAAGACGGAGCCCCACGATTTGGTGGAGGTGAGGCTCTACCCTCAGCCCCAGCCCTTCCCATGTGCCCTGGGGAAATGCAATTGCCTCAGCTAAAAGGGAAAGCTTTTCCATTTTCCATTTAGAAGTTGTGCAGATTCTCAGCTGATGTCTGCCTGTGAACTTTCTGGCCGAGGACAGGCCCCCACTGATCCTCCTTCATCACAGCATGCAAGGCTAGAGGATCCTGTGGGAGGAGTGGGGGCTGGGGCTGGGGGCCTTTCCAGACTCCCAGCTGCTATCTGACACTGCCCAGGTGATGGGGCCTGGGATGAGCAGCATTATCTGAATGGCTGTTTCTGCCCTCATGAATCCCAGGTGGAGGAGCCTCGGATGGGGAGAGAACAACGCCAACTGGATCTCACTGTCCAGGAGATTATTGATAGCTTGCAAGCCATGCATATGCATTGTGAGAGGTAAGGAGGGTACTAGAGCCGGGGTGGTGGTGGTGGTGAGGGGACCTAAGTTGACAGGCCAGGAAGAACTGGTGAGCCGCTGACCAGGGCTTGATGTCAGGGGGCTTTGGGGCCTCCTCATCAGATACACTGCGGCCTGGGAATACAAGCTACCTGGAGCCCCTCTCTTTCCTTATTTGTCAGCAACTTTGACATCGATCTGATGGCGGAGATTGGCCTGGAGGAGTTAGCCCGGCTGGAGATGGAAACCCTGCGGCGCCAGGTGAGCCTCTACTGAGAATGGCCGCAGCAGTGGGGCGATGGCAGGCTTCTAGTGCCCCGAGATGGATGCTCAACCTGGAACCTCCCTCTATCCCTGAGATTCTGGCCGGCAACAGGATGCTAGGGCTAGAGGCAGAAGTCAGAACAAACGAAGGGGAGACAGGTGTCTGCAGAGAAAGGGGCCTAGGTCTGGGTGGGAGCAACTTCCTGTGACCCAGCCCAGGGCTGGCCAAAGCCCCCCTCATTCCCACCTGGGTGCCTTCAGTACCTTCCCTGGGGAGGGGGGGGGGAGGACTGGGCAGGCTGGGAGAGTCCACTGCCAGGCACTGCGACTTGCCTCAGGCTAAAGCCAACCTCGCTTTGGAGTCAGACCAGACTGCTCTCTCCTCCTTGCATTGTCTTGGGCTCCTGCGAGGACACTTGCTTATCTTCCCACTTGTGGTCTCCCTACAGGTGCACCTCCTCACCCACCGTCTGCAGGCTCTGGAGAGTCAGGGAACCACCTGGCACCACAAGGAAACCCTGTTGTTCACTCTCCTGATGTCGCTGTGCGTGGTCAACCTGTGGATGTGGATGCGCCACTGACTGGCCAGGAGGATGAGCACTACTG